TCCTGACAACATCCGCAGCAGGGGCTCCGATGTCGTTCCGTGAGCCTCCAATGAAATCCAAGTGCCCTCCGAGTTCACCTCGACTCCCTTTGACACTCCGATCAACTCTGCATTGTTGTCCCAATACAGGCCTTGTACCAGGATAGCTGACCAGGAGTTCACCTCCCAAACATTCACCTCTGCAGCCGGTTGCCAGTCGTCCATTTCCTCCACTCGCCCAGCTGGCCGGGCTCGGATGCGGGGCGCCCGGGGCGCCACTGCTGGCCGTCTCAACGCCCGCTTCGGCGCCATGTCGGATCTCTCCTCTTCTGCTCGTAGAAATCGTAGTTTCTCCACACCTTCTTGAGCCCTCGATTTTTCTTCTTCTTCGGCTTGAATCCCCCCCTTCTTTCACTTTCCTTTTGCTTTTCCTTTACCTTTGCCCTTTCCCTGCCCCTTTCCTCTTGGCGCCTCCGGGGCAGGGGACTCTTCGTCCGGCTCCTCTTCCACTGTCTCCTCAGGCTCGCACTCGTTCTCTTCCTCAACTTCTTCACCGGTCGTCTCAATGGGCTCCGGCTCAATTCCAGGAGCTTCGTCGGCTCCCGCCAATTCCAATGGCAAGCCTGAAAGTCCTCCTTCGTTTCCTGAAGATTGGTCTGAGTCTTCTGGTGTATGTGGTGTTCGTTCTCGGGGCTCTGACCTTCGTCGTCTACGTCGGCTGCGGGAACGACTGCTGAGCTAGGTGTCCGGGATCTTGCGCGGCGCCTCCTTCTGCCTTTGTCTCTCTTCCTTTTTCTCCCGGGTGACTCTGCTTCTTCGTCTTCTCGGGGCTCTGCTGAAACTTCTTCACCCCTGCGCCTCCGGGCTAAAGGTGGCAGCCCTTGCCCGCGGGGTACCTCCTCCTCCTCCTCTGGTTTGCTTGGAGCCGAAGTGTGCCCCTCCACGCTCTGCCCTTGATGTAGGTCTAGCTTTCCTTTCTTCTTGGACCACTCCCTCACCAGGAGTGTCCGGTTGAGGTGTTAGGCCTCCGGGCCGCACCCCAACACTGTCCACCGAAGTCCCAGAGCTCGCTGCTCCCGAAACCCCAGTGTACGGTGAGGGCCAGTTCCAGCAACTGTGTATAGTGACCCTCAACGATCGGCAAACACCTCTGGCGTAGTAGATCGCTGGACCCAGCCCCAAACAGCAATCCAGCAACCTTTCGGAATACTGCCACGCACAGTGGACAAGTGCAGTCGGCTGGTGGTTGCACTCCCTGTCCAGGAGTGCACATTTACGCTGAAGCCAACACACTGCGGGTGAATGCGAGTTTCGGACCCGTTTCGTTTTTTAAATCGGTGCGGGACCCATATGACTAATGACTACATCCAAACCCAAACCCGAGACTAGGAAAGCCCCGTTCCTCGAAATGACGTGTAGTAAGTTGCTAGCCCGCGCTGTCAGTGCTGCGAAAAACATCCCCAGACCCACCAGACCAAGTCTCTACAGCGCACGCCACAGGCAACACCGTGGGCCCTGTGGGTGCGGCGCCCAGCATCGCGTCTAAGATCTGACCTGGCATGTTTTGGTACAAGTAAGGTTGTGTATAGAGATGATATGACGTGCATGTCAGTACCAAAGTCAGATTTTCTGGGGTACACATATTGTGAAGTTCCGGCTTCAAAGGTCCCTAAGTGCAAACTGCAGGTCGTTTCTACAAACGGTCAGGAATGTGAACACATACAAGTGTTGTGGTTTCCTCTGTATCTGCTTTTATCAGGCAACATGTTTCAACTTTCAAGTTGGTGTCAAATGTTTTTGGTTTACCTACATCTATAATGGTCAAGGGGGTGCCAATCAGTTTTGACCAAGTGTACAGTCCATCTACTTGCTAGGTTGATTTGTTTGCCCATTTTGGTGCAACTGTGCAACTGTTTTTCAAGTTCGGAACAACCATGAACCAAATCATTCTGCAATGTCATCGTGTCATGGTTCCTTCCGGGTGATTGCCACCAGGATCGAAGCAAGGACTTCCTAACAGGGCGGGGCAATCCTCACCATGTCCCGACTGTTCGATCTTGGCCACGCCACGGCCACGGCAGTCAATCAATGATTGTTGGTAGGAACATGTAACTTTGGACAAGCCTTGCGATTGAGCTCAGTATTGAACGTGTACTGTTTTTTACTCTAAGCATCTTACCACCCCAAAAGCAACGCAAAACAATTGAACAAACACGTCAATGGCATTCAATGGCGCACCTCCATCCTCGGCGTGCACCAAAACCAACAGGATTTGGAGCACCCACGCGGTCCACGCCATGTGTCGGCCCATCGGGCGTCGACTGGACGTCTGAATCAGCCACCAAGCCAAGTGGCTGAAAAGTGGAAACCGATTTCTTCGATATGAACGTCTGGACGAAATCACCGTCTATCGAATCATGAGAGATTTGAACCTAAGTAAGACCCAGGACCCAAAGCAACCATATGTAACAAAAATGGAACAACTGTAGCAGCGATTCAACTCTGAAAAAAAGAACTACCGCACGTGTTTCTATTTGACGGAGTGTTGCAACGGCAATAGGGGCGCTCCTTACTAGGGGTAAAGGGCAACCCCGTCCAAGAATATTATGTTAATGACTCCAACCCCCCTTTACATACGAGTCGGAAATATGCTCCACCCTGGTTTCACAAGGTGGGAATAGTAAAAAACGGAAATAGTATTCGGGATCGGGTCTATCAAGAGAAACATCTACAAAACTCTGCGCTGTGGGACACAAGGCTGCTAAACCAACGCTGCAAACCAACCAAATCAACAAATCCACCGCTAGCACCCTTAGTGGTAAAACCCTTCATGCCTAGCTCCCTCTACAAAATAAACTACTCCGGAGGTGCGCCATGGAATTTCAAGCGCTACGTCCCTTATCTTCCTCATACTTCATCCTTCCCTCCTCCAACCCCCGGGGATGGCAACCCCTCAAACACCACCCCAATAAGAGATTTGGCGTGGATCCACAAATAAGCATGCCTTTGAATGGAACTGCAATGAATATCTAGCCTTCCAACAATGGTATATTTTATCGTTCCAGGGGGGGTGGTAACATACGCGTCAGGCCTCCATACAAAAGACTTATTTCACTCAAAATTATTCCAAACATGTCATTCTGGCATGTAACACCTCCCCTGGAATAATAAAGAATTAGTGTTTTTCTCCGAGGCCCCCGATGGAAAACAAGTTGGGCACATTGTGCGGAAGTCCCTTGACCTGCACGAGTCCTGCAATTTGGTTTGCAAAATGCCGACAAAGGGTATGAGTCGGTATGAGATGGCATGAGTGATAGCACCCTCCCAAGCAGTGTGATCCAAAAAAACGAAATCGAGCCCAAAATACACCGTGAATGATGTTTCGGATCACCTTCCGGATATTAAAAACAAATTCTGTCAACTGGATGGCAAGAACTCCCTGAAATGACTGGCAGGGGTGTTTTTTACATATGCGGAGGGTGGTAAGCTAAGATTGCTGAATCAAATT